TTTTTTGACCAAACATGTAAGAAATTAATTTTATGATTTCATCAGGAATAAAATCCATTAACGTTCCGCTTAGAATTTGTTACATTTTAATTATAAACTTGCTGAAGTAACGGTAATAATAAAATATCTCAATGATCTCAGAAGACATCAATTTACTGCTACTATGGCGATTTGAAAAGGATAAGTGAATTTGCCACAAATCAATAAGATATCAAATTGAAGCCAATGAAATCAATAAATCCATCTGCCACAAATTCATGTATTCAGTAACTCTACAATTACTCCTGACACAGTGATCATCAATGCTTGAATCATTCGTTTCAACTGGATTTTAAGCAGCTCACTATCTCAGATTATTTCACAACATGACATTATTTATCTATCGACTGGTGTTGTCTTATTCACTGTTCAAATACTAATTCTGAAAGATTTTATTGTAAAATTTACATTTATGAAAGTTTACAAATTTGAAATTTACATCTTTGAACATTTTTGAAATAATTTTTTAATTTTTTTTTCTCAATTTTTTCTGATGAAATATTTTGCAAAAAGTGAAAAGTTGTAAATGCTGTACTGTTCAAATAATCCTTCTGTGAGTTTGTGTTTGATACATGGTTGATGTGTAGGTAAGAAAAAGATTTACCGTAATCATCGTTATGAAAGAGACACTGATAGTTCAAATCTAACTGGTTCAGAAGACCGAAATTAATTTTCGATTTTTTAACAAATGAATAATACTGACCTGAATGGGGGAAGAGAAACTTTTGACTTACACTCATCTAATATTAGTTTGAAAAAAATTCCTGACTAAATTAACGTACTGCTTAATTTGTTTATAGTGATTTAAGCTCTTACTTACCTAATGGTTTACTTTCTTATTCTATATTCGAAACCTTTCGCTCATTCAATCCTTTTTATTGTCGTTAAAATCATTTCTTTTTGATTGAAATTCAAATTTATGCATTGGAAAATTCTTATCTGAATGAATGTATAGAGTCTACTTTGTTTCTTTCTTTTTTTATGTAAGATTGGTCATTTTGTGGGACACACTTTTGATGGTAAAACATTGAAGCAAATTAGTCGGAAAAATAGTCAAAGCATATGAAATTTGAAATTCACTAATTATTTATATTATTGCTCATACAGAGAGCTTAATCCAACTCTTTTTCAGATCTCTACGGGAAAATCTCTTTAGTTAGGAAATTTTCGAACTGAATGAACAAGTAACCTTTTTTACTTTAAATAGAAACTTCTCGGCGAAGTTAAAGTCAAATGATCAAAAAATAGTTTCTTTCTTTTGAATTTTTTATGAAGGGCGATCAATAATACTCGTTCATTACCATTCCCGGTGATTTCCAGAACTAAGAAACGGTCAAGAAAATTCTTCATTTTCACCTTGTATATAGTGAATACCGTATCAAAGTACACCACAATTAATAACAACCAGGAGACTGTTAGAAATTCAAAGTAAGCAACAAATTAAGTAATTGAACAAAAGAATCAAGTGCCATAATTACTAGTTGATAAGTAAACAGTTAAGAAAAACAGACAAACATGAACGATCAATTAAGCGGAGTGAAAAGAAACACACAACTGATTGTGATGAACAGGATTTGTTAAGTAAATGAGATGACTGGTAGATCGCAAATACGAAATCAGGACATAGGAAACCCAGCAAATCCAGCTCTGTAACACGTGAGGCCAAATTTCAAATGCAAATTTTGATTGCTCTGGAGCGGCAGCCGCAAGTTTTTCAACTGCTTTTTTATGAACTTATAATTCTTCGATCTATTTCATCTGAATTTCAAATCCATACATTAACAAAATTGTCTTATGAACAAAAAACAATTTCGGAGTTCCAAAACGCTTCAAGTTGGGCAAAATATAAAGGAGAATAGGGATTAGAGTGAAGCTTATTTCCATAAGCAATTTGTGTAAATCTTTGAGAACTCCCATAACGATGCAGATAACAGTGCAGTCAATATTCGTAGTATCTTGCGATGCTGGTTTGAGAATTGTGAGCAGTACTTCGTTTCTGCTTGATTTGCATATAGCAATGATAAATTACTTTAAATTAGGAAAATACACTTCCGTTACTTAACGATTGCAATAATAATAACTGAAAAGGAGAAAGAGACGAGCTGATTGCTTTCAAAACAACACTGAAAAAAACATCGGCACGAAAGTGTTTCATTTTAATGTGACACGCTGAAACGATGGATCCTGTAGGTTTTTTTCTTTGATATCGAGAAAAACTATAAAAAATTTTTTAGCAAATTTGCTTAGGTATAGGGCACATTTGAAATTTATTAAAAGAAGAGATTACTCATTTCTGAAATTTATGGTCGATAAGCTTTCGATGAGTCAAAAGTTAATATCTTGTATGTATAAATAATTATGCTTTAAATGATTAACTATTTGGAAAAAAACTTTCTATATCAAATAAAAAAATTAAATAACGGATTCAATGAAATTCGTTCAAAAAATTTGATCTGTTATGTTGGACAGGCTTTATTGGCTAATGCAAATCTCCGCCACCACACACATTGCGATTGCTCAATACCACAAAATGATTTCCTCAAATTATTTTTTATATTTACAAAATTCCATCACATATCTACGTTTTAACCTTTACCCATTCACGATATATCATGTTGTTTCAGCAAATATTGCTTCTAATTGAAATGGTAGTGCAACGTCAAAGCGTCATGTAATGAATTAATTATACATGGTATAGTTTTGCTCAGAACTTCACCAATAAAATTCATACTTTATGGTTTTCTAGAAAATCCCCTTCCCATATGATTGACTTCTGGCCTAAATGAAGTCTTACCGTCATTAGTGTAAAAATTGCCTATGTGAAAGTAGTGAAAAATAATTTGAAGGTATTCCCCGAGTAGTTACGAACAACAAATTTGAATGAGAAATATTCACGGTATAATTTGAACTAACCACAACATCTACCAAAGGTCAAATTTAGAAGGCTTTCAAAATGACTCACCGATCTCTCAAATTAGAGAGTTTAGCACAAGATGTTACACACGAAACCACTCGAAATAAAATATGACAAAGAAATAAAAAAAGAAAAATCATTTCGGAAAAGTAAAGGAAATTGTGGCCAGAATTTCAATTGAATAGTTGCCCATGAGAAGAGGAGGAAAATCGGGAATAAGAGTAATGAGCGAGGTATTTCATTCTTCTTATCTTACAATCATCAGATGATCTTGAAAATCCTTGGATCAAGTTGTCGCCGATTTTCTTCAACCGTGACAAAAACTAAGGGTTCTTTCTGCTTCTTCGGGTAGTAGTACCTCAAACTTGGGTAATTAAACCTTCATTTATTAACAACGAACTTGCAATTACGACATCGATACAACAAATTAAAAACGAAAATACTAAGAACAAGAAAGACTAAATCACACCCGTTACCTTATATCCAACCGACCTCAATGAAACACATTTGTGAAAATGGATTGGTGCTCAGGACCCTCCGTTTCTTCGACTGGGAGAGTCCTTGTACCGTTTTATGATTACAAGAATTAGCTTCCTTATGGAGCGCCCATTGGTACAGAGTTCCTTATTAGTGAAAACATAAGACAATATGAGCATATAAAACAAAGATGTCTGGCTTTCAAAAAAGAGGATTGTTGTTCCTTTGTTTCTACTCGCGACATTAGCGACACAAGTGGCAAATTTTTGTATTTTCTTGGAAATATTTTACGCAACGAGACACCAGAGTTGCAAAATTTTCTTATCTTAAACTTGATAATTAAATTTTAGATAAAAGGAACAATATTAACATCGCATAATCATTAAGAATTACAAAACACAGATTAATGCGTAAAGCTAAGCTCCAAAACATCACTAGAAGACAAATCTCGAAGACACCAATCTGGAGAATAAAAGAGAGGAAGAATATTATCCTGCTGTGTGCCCGATTTATATATATCCTTCGAGTGCAGCACTGGCTTTTTGAATATGTTAATTCTTACTCAACTTCTTTAGTTTTTTTAATATAGGAAAGCATTATCCTTCATTTCAAGCCAACATTCCATAAATCATTCAAGTCCCAACAAAATTGTACTCGAGGTCAAGCGTATTAAAATCCGACAATTATAAACAAATATCGGTTCTGAGATAAAATTATGAGCACCCTTATCGCATTAGCAGGAAACAGCACTTAGTCCTCTTTTTTTCATGTCGAAATTTTTGAATATAACGCCGTAAAACACTGCTTTCAATTCCAAGGCAACATTTGGAGGCAAGTCTCAAAATTTGAAAATCTCGTGAAAATTTTCATCCTTTGATGGTTCATATGCAAAAATCACATTCGGCAAAAGAATAATTCTAAAAAGAAGCAAAAACATGCGACACTATGAAAGCTTTTATAGGGCGAACAAAAATATCGCAAAAATCCTGACCCTGCACTGGCATATAACGATGTTTAGAATTTTGCAGAATACCGTTCGAAATGTAAGTCGAAAATAATTTTCATGATAAAATGTGCGCCTACAATTTATATTTCCACTCTTTATCTACTAAGCATCAGCGGTGCAACGCCAACACGCAAAGAACCCCAGAACAGTGGTTCAAGAATACTCTTCGTCGGTTGTAATGAAAAAAGTAACAGTTTTGGAGGATGAAAAGAAGCCACATTATCATTTCTCGATACATAAAGAAAACTCTTGTATTCGGACAAAAAAGAAAACTGCTACTTCAGAAGGTTTCGTCCCTGGTTTCTCCAAAACATGAGATACATGTCTAGTATCTTCAAAATGTGGATGTAACAGTTGGAAGCTTTGGAAAGCAATCAAAATGATGGTTTACTTGAACCAATCAACCAAAACATATTACAGATTTTTACTCAACAAACACGACGATCTATCCATCAAACAACTGTGGTCAAAAATATTCTTCTCTAAAACACAAACTACCTTTTGTAAACACATGGACACAAAAATACTTGAAATGTATTATTTTGTAAATACATGAATCTTATAAAACTTGTAAAAACTGAAATATTTCAAAAAATTCTACTCCGAACAATTGATTTGTCCTTTGGGAGGCAAATATTTTTTGGAACAGAATTTTTTGCTCGGCAATTTGCCTTCAAATTTAAAAATCTTTCTGTCCATGAATCAAAATGTAAATTTCGTTGAAAAAAGGTTAGGCTGGGAACTTGTTACGAACCAACTAAATTGAAAAAATAACTCCTGCAAAATTTTTACGCTATGAATTAACCTTGCTTACGTAATTAATTAATGAGATGAAAGTGCCAAGTTTGACTTTACTTCAGACAAACTGAAAATTGAAAAAGTAAAAAGACACCTTGAAACTCTTAATAAATTTCACTTCATCATTAATAGAGAGGTTCAATAAAAGTTCAATCTAAAATTGATTTACAATGATAGTCGTGGAATAAAATCATATTCAATTTCATCGCACAGATGCTGCTGCTCCGCTACAGTCTCTTGAACCATGTAAGTCGACTACTGCTTCTGCCAAAAACAATTTTGCGATATTTTCACTAGTAACCTGCAAGATTTAGAATCTTGTGACCTAGAAAGCAATAAATTCTGTGAAATAAGCTATTTCAAATAATGTCATCGCATAAAATACGAATAAGAATGATGAGTGCTATAAAAAAATACATGTATGGTCAATCCGAAGGTGTCTTCCCCTAACTGGTCCCATTTGTAATACTCCTCATTTTTATTAATACTCTTCATTTTTATTTGCTAAAAAAAAGAACAAAAAGACAAAGAAACGAAAAAAAGTGGAAAAATATTGGTGTAAACAAGCCTCTGTAACATAGTCGGAATGGGCTCTAGCATCTGATGAACACAGAAAACTTTCCAGCATCCCACATTTGGTTGTCAATTGAGGTGGCTTCATCTTTTTTATGTCGTCAAACGATAGTGGAGGTTCACCACGAGCTTCTCGCTGTTCATTTTCCGCCTGCTGTAAGTAAAAAGATTAACTGCAGGTCAGAAGATTATGATAAAAAAGCTATCTGGACGAGTAATTAATCAAATCATACGCAAATATGAAACGAATAACCCTTTTTTGCATAGCATTGTAAACAGTTAAATCATAGCGTTGCTTATCAGCCACATATTTCGTATATGCCATAACCGTTCTATTGAGGTCATCAACATCGCTCATCAGCGAACGAAGACATTTTTCCAAAGACCTATGAAAAATTAACAAGTAGAATAAATATATAGTTCAAAAAATGTTTCGAAAGAATGGATTTGAAGGTGAAGAAAGACTGAAATTCCAATATTCCATTAATCAAAATCGTTTCAAACACAAAAAAACCTCCGAGTCCCCAGTTCGAGATGAGAAGATGACCGCTGAGTTATACAACCACTTTCCAGTGTTAACTCAGCTAACATCACATTCACCAGGTGACTATTTTTAATGACTACAGGTAATTCTTCAAGCATATTCTCATACGTCAAGCCAGCTGCCCTTGTACTGAAAAAAATCATAAAAATGAACTGAGAAGTTGAAAACGGGCACATTAATAATAACCTTCTTTTATATCCAAAATACAGATATTGAAGATTTTTAATAATACAAGGCAATTATAAAAGCAGAAAGCATCTTACCTCTCCGGTGACCAGTCACCATCTAAACTCATTTCTAACGCTTTTGTTGATAAACGATAAGCCCGTATGCTCAGCTGTCCTTGGCGAGTTTTCACAGGATCTGCAATATTTTGAAAAAATCTACTATTAATTTCGCCTTTCCATGGAATTTTCATGTTTTTGAGAAATCAAGTGCTAAATAATGATATTACTTTTTACCATAAATAAGCACAACTCCATCTGGCACACTTGCTTGATAATCGATTAGCGAATCGATTGTTTCTTGTGCAAAACAAGCACCGAATGGGTGAGCTTGGTAAAATCCTACAAGTTCGTAGTCGATGTTCATATCTCTGCAAATAAATAACGAGGACTGAAGTTATTGCAACAAGTTACAGACTGGTAATATTGCTAAACAAAATGAGTTCCTCAGGTTTTCAAAAAAAGTGAGAATTGAAAGATGGGACCTGAATTTTCGAAGCATATCCAACATCTCCGCCTGTTTTTGCTCCTCATACAAAACATTGTTTTGCGTTATTTCATCACCATCAAGCATAGGCTCAGCTCTGGCTGTTGGAAAACAGTTTGTGATTTCCAAGCGACGGTCATCACTTGACACCAAACCTAAATTCACGTTTTACATCAAAAACCATTGTGCGTTAAACAAGTTAGTACGGAATATTCCTAGAACAGGTTAAAAAAAATCAGTGGCGGGTAACTTTGATTATTTAAAAAGACTAACCAGTTAGCAGCCCTTGGCATGCTTCACCAGCTACTTCGTTGAGGCCTGCGTACATTTCTGAATCAACGTGCTTCACAATTTTCATGACAACCTGAAAAAAATATTTACGTGAATTCGTTCATTACAATTTGAACTAAGCATAAGATTTCGGTAATGTATTTTCGAGCATTTCCTCTAAAATTCTCGAAAATAACAAAGAATCCCTCATTAAGAAATGAGACTTATTTAATAATTTTAACAGAAATGACAGATAGACGTAGTACACTAAAAAAAACATACCAAGCTATCTATCTGGACGAATTGCACAATACTTGGAGCAGCAACTGCTGCACTGATATTCGACATCGTTTTTGAATTTCTAAAAAATCCAACAAGCGAAATTAACGGAGTTAAATATAATTCCTCAGGTATAATCAATACCGTAAAACATGAATAATACAAAAAGTAACGGAATAAAGCAGATCATATATTAAGGCAAAAACCTAATAAACCCAAAATATTTAAAGAAAATTTATCATTAATATTTCATAACAATAAAACCTCATACTGCACTAACAAAAATAAGAAAAAACTAACAAAAAAAAACAATGCACAACAAAAATAAGTGACAACAATTAATCTTTATCAGAACCTCTCAACTTAACTTCATTATGAATGGATTGTAGAAGTTTTTCAATTCAATTTAATTCATAAAAAATGTAAACTGCTCAAAATGTTTCAGTTCCTTATAGAAACAAACATAAACGAGCACGTTGAAAAATGACAAGTCACTGTATTTAAAGAAAATTTATCATAAATTCATTGGAACAACGTGATAAAAGTTGAGACAAGTATTCTGCACAAAAAGTGATCAAGATCATTATATAGGAAAACATTTCGTTTCACATGCAAAATACTTCATATTCAATATCAGCTTTACTGAGTGGCTTAAATTTGTATGATCAAAGTTAAATTTGAGTTGAACGTCTCATATCAAATACAGTTATGTGACAAGTGAAATACGAATAATACAAAAAGAATTAGATGCATATATTATGACTTGCATAAGCATATCAGTTTGAAAATTCATCTCCCAAAAGGTTAAAGTAAATATTGCACATCGACACCCCAAGATCAACAAAAATGCAAAATAGCCAAAATGGATAAAGTAAAAGAAATATTGCAAGAATCTTGGTTCTGTGATCAGTGACAATTCCCCCTGAAATGTCTGAAACGAATTACTGGAAAATCTGTGCATACCGTAAAAATGAAATGTCCGGTAAATGTAATGGAACTATAACCAATTTTCACAAAACAATATTTAATATTTAGAAAAAACGGAGTAAAATTTTTGGAACTGCAGCAATACATAATACATAGCTTACTTGAAAATCTGCTAACAAATATAAAAGCTAATATCCTACGTTTCAGCGTCTTTTTCTGAAACCTGATGTTATAAAATACGTCATTAAGGCATATTTTAGAATTGCAGTTTTTGCAGTGAGGTGAAATAATAGGAAATAGAAAATAGCGACAAAAATCAACGCGCAATGACAGAAATTTGGCAAATTCAATCACAATACACACCTCTCAAAGATTTTAAAGCTATATAAAGGAATATTCTGTTTTTTGAAGTATCGAACTGGTAAACAATCATATTTTATCAGTGGAGACTTACTCATCATCTATATACGCGACGAAATTCAGCTCGTTACTGCTAAATGTTTCTAAAATAAGTAAACAGATACAAAAAACATGAGCACAGGATTCCCAAATATAATTAGATATTTGCGATACATAACATGTTACATCGTTGGCAACCAAAGCCATTGCTAGATAGTGAAATGTTAAGTCTGCCAGATTACTCAATCGAAGCAAAAACACCAATCGCGCCCTACTATTATGAACTGTCTGAACCCATCATGAAAATACCTTCAGCCGTTTTCCATAAAGCCGCATTTTTTGATACAGAAATGGCTACTACCTCATGCTGTCCATTTATAGGTCTTCCGTACTGTTTACCACTTACTGCCAAAAATTTGTCTGAAATAACAATCCATGAAAAACTGATAAACAATAAAAATAAGTGGATAAAATTCAAAACATGTAACAAAGATTTTACAAACATTTGATACATATAAGAAAGACCCATTTACTATACATAAGAAGAATCTTCAGTTTGGTTCTATCAAGGATTAAAAATTAAACAGATAGGAATACTGGAAACAAACCGGTGTTTTCATGCTTCAGTTTCACAGCATCCTTCATAAGCCATGCATCATTATTACACATGACGATCCAGTGGTCACCAGAATCGCCTTCATTATTCCCAAAACAAGACACTTCCTTCAAAAAATTACTTTGCTTCTAAAATTACTTATTTAAATATATGTAGCAGCTCGAAAACAAAAGAGAATGGAGGTGCATTAATTCATTTATTATTTCATCCTTTATGAAGTTTTTGTACATACGATGAGAAGCTCAGGAAGTGTTCCGAAAATAAAACTACCTGTTCTTCCTTTGTCATTGGTGCAGCGAATAAGTGACTGTGAAGATGGCAACCAGTCGTCAAATGTTTCAAACGTATTTTACTGCCACATCTCACCGGTTCTCCTCGCTTGCAAGTTCCTTTTCTTGCTGAATCAGAAGGATGCAACAAAACATGATTGTGTTGCTTGGATGCCATTAAATCCAAAATGCGACACACATATAGAGAATAATATATTTTCTTCACATGCAATCGTTCGATTCAAGAAATGTATCTGCGTAAATGAATAAAACTCACCGGCAAGAATTTGCCAATGAGAATTCACGTCATCCCCATCTTGTACAGCAGTTACTGATTGCTGACCACTACCAGATCCGTATTTTACGTCATGCGAATGCAGACGAACACCTGAACTGACTATAGGAGATTGCTACAGCCAAATAATAATGACAGAATTATGATTGTGTATAGATGTGTTTTTGGCGAAAATGCAAAAAACCGACTGAAACTTATTATCAGGATTTTAATGTCCCTAAATCCACTATCTTAAGCAATTCCGTAAACTTGTCTTTCCCACCTTCTTCATTATTCTTCAGTTTCAAAACCGATCCACACGTTACAAATCCACCATTAAGTTGAGATGTACTTACAGCTACAAAATACAACATCGAGACCATCAAAAACTCCAAAAACATATCTGAAAAAGCCTTCAGTCGGTATCGATTTATAAAATCTAACAATATAGTTATTACCATTACTTGCAAAATTCTCCAATGCAAAGTGACCTTTGATCCTGACTACCCTTAAACATACGATGGAAAAGCACGCTAGTACGAAGGCAAATTAAACATCACAGACATCTTCATAAAGTGAAAACCGCATATAGTGGAAAATTTGTGGAGAAAGGAAAAAGGTGAAACATCTAAGAGATAGGATCTGTTTCCACTGATAACTGTACAGAATATGCGTTCCACTGCATTTTATTAGAATTGAAAAATATTTCATTAGCAAAGTACCACTAGGATGTTTATTTATTATGAGAAAATGAAAAATCTCCCTCCCACTCAGTGTTATTGCGACAAAACTTCACATACCCAGACCCCACCAAACCCACACAGATCCAAGCATCATTACGCGACATCCGCCTTACCGTAGAAGGCTTAGTTAAATTTTTAATGCGGTCGCAATGTGAAAACTTGTCATTTTGCCTGCATAAAGATATTTTGCTTGTGGTCAACTGAATGACTCACAAGAGTGGTCTGTCTAAAATAGCAATTATAATGAATGCATAATAAAAACTGTTCCAGTTATTTCAGTATGTCAATTAAATTGCCATCTTTTTAGTATATTAGCGCGTTTATTGCTTAATGCAAATTTCGGATTTGTGACACTTTCTTAAACTCATTTACAAGAATCGAGTCGAGGGTTAGGAATACATGAAAGGAAGTTGACTGGATGAAATTTATAAATATGGACCGTTCACGCTAAGTGCTAATTAACTGGTATATCGATGACTTAGTATTTTGCGATATTTTCACGTGTCAAACGTAATTTGAAAAATATTGGTTTGTTATTAAAATATTGCTGGAAATAAAATCAAGTGGAAAAAAAGAAGAAAAAAAAAGTAATCGGGTAATCGGTAAAACGTAATCGAAATTCTGTCGGAAGAAATGACTTGAGGAGAAAGTGATTAAAGCATTATTCTTCAGTAAGATAAAGAAAAGGGTAACCTGAATTAATAGTTACTTTAAACTCTAATCAAAAACTGATTTCAAGTGTAAAAATTTCAATCCTTATAATCTTTTAAATAAGTAGTGTTTTTAAATGGATAATACCGTTGCAATGATAACATTACTTCATTATAACACGACAGACAACAAGTGTTATGTGCTGTTTATCCATCAGATATTTCCAGACAACTTTTGAAATCTCGTCGCTTGGATCGTAAACGTAATCAAATCTGATCACGTTTTAGTTATTACCATTATTAAACATTATTATTTAAATTCTGACAAGTGCTGAAAAATTACTAAGAGGTTACTGTCTCATTTTGCTGCGAGAAAGTTTTACGTCATAAAGTTAAGGAAGAGAGCAAATTGAATTCCGTTAGAATTTAAACGGATGAATTGTTAAGGTGAGTGTATTTACACCTTTTCATATGCAATGAAAGGGGGGACCTCAAGAGAAGCGTGACACTAGCCGAAGGTGCTGTCGGAAGTTGTAAGAGCAGCATTTTCTGCCACAAATAAACATTTTGACATAAAAACGAGAAAAAAATTAGGAAATGACAAAATCCTACCATCCATTATGCATTTGTTATTAACCGCGTACCTTATACCTCAATGAATGAGCACCAAAAAAAGTTTTGCCGAGAAACTGAAACATGAAATGTATTCAGTGTTCCAACTCTTCACTTTTCGCTCATTTTTATTTGAGCAATTTTCCGATCCTACCATCCATTATATATTGATTTCTTTAAATTTCTGTAAAATTTATAATTGAAAAACTTTGATTAATTTAATAAATAATTATTTATAACGCGAGCTTCTTCTTTGTCAAACCGGAAGAAAATGAGGAGACGAAAAAGTGCGAAAGGAAATAATGTGCTTATGACCAAATCCCTGGGAATGCATAGTGATAGATAGTCAATGAAGGATGTCTCATCAAACTTTGTAACTATCATACTATCATATTTGTCTTTAGATACATTCAGAATCATTTTACGACTGCATGAATTTAAGATCAGTTCGTTTTTGATCGCGCTAAAATACAAATAACTTGTTTATATTTATTCATTTCATTTGTGATTCCTTCAAATCTCTACTTATGTTGAGATGAGTTCAATTCCGCCCAGTTAAATTCACTTTATTTATTTCAGCTAAATGTAACATAACAGTAATCATCATTGGATACGCCCTATTCAGGCTTGACTTCTAGTGATGGATACTCTGCCCAATGTTTTACCATTTGTCGCAGGTAGAAAAACAACAAAAATACAGCACAACCTAAGTACCTCAGAATGCTGATGTACGACAGTCACATCGTTTAGTGAGATCAAGTCTTACCTAACATTATCAAGAAATTCTTCGAACAAGACTTTGATAAGGTTTTAAAACCGCATGTTTGAAATGAATCCGTTAGTTCCTCTATGTCTTGTCGACTTAAAAGTATTTATTTTTAGTTCTGTTGGTAACTTCTGAACCAAGTAAGTAATAGTGGATCAAGAAATAATATTGCAAGAAAAGGACAACACCAAGTAAAAGTTCTAATGAAATAATATCAATGGAGTAATATGAGGTGATTATTAACAGGTGTTGTGAAAGTGGTCAATAAGCCGTGATTTACCTGAAAGTGGCGGACCGAGAGTTAGGATTGAGAGAGTATAACAAAAAAGTTATGAGTAATGGTGCTATAGACAGACACGCAATGAACCATCTTTGCACGCCCTCGAGCAAACAGGTTATGGGAATAGCAGTAGAGGAGAATTATTTAGTTAAATGGAGATGCTGTTGCTTTGTATCGTAAGAAGAAAGGAATGAGGCGTCTGATAAAGAAACAACTTTTCACGCGATGGATGACAACAGCAATGGGACTTTGTGAAGATCAAGAATCTTTTGATTCTTCAATTCTCATCCCCTTTCATTCTCGTCATTCATTAATCACGTCATAATTGCGATACGATAAGTTACCTCCAATTCATGGGTATTTTCCCTTTGCAAAGTGATTATGAAAACTCTGGATACTGTTATTAATGGCTATATCGTTGTTCGATCTGTTGCTCATGTTTAGCATAACTTCGAAATCCTCTTCTCATCCAGTTTCCCAGTCCGAATTCCCCTGCTTCCAATGTGTGACGGTCCAAATACCTTTTGTCTTTGTTCTCTCAGATTTCATGAAACCCAGAAGAACAGTGTGAGATGTCATTGTGAATAGCATCTATTCATTTATCTTCAATATAAATTTATTAAACCAATATTTATTTACATACCACTCATTAATTTAATTCCATCCCTAGCAGTATTAATTATTCAAAGCTTTTAAAGTGATAGCAGTTATCGCCAAGCATTATTGCAATCACATCAGTGTTACAAACAGGAAACAAATTTGTTGGTTTGTTTCCGTAGTAGTGTTCGATCGTGTTTGCATTTCAGCATTGCAAGCATGCATCAATCAATATGTCCGTAATGAACTGCATTAAAGAATCTTCTGGTTATAGATCTCCCACATTTGCTAATAAGAGAAAACGACGGAAGAAGAAACGAGTTCACTTCTCTTTTCGGTAAAAGCCGGCAATTAGCCACAGCTCATTTTTATTCTCATCGAAGTGCAGTCTACTATGTTTGAATAATCTCTTGCATATTTCATCTATTTTGATCTATTGGTGATTTTGAATGATGAAATGCTGACATTGGCCAGTATCTTTCATGCAGTTCGACCACAAAGTTGATTATCCAGGCCGGTGTGAAAGGCATTATTGGATCATCAAACTTCTATAATCACTACCATGATGCGCTTCTTAAGCATCATCTTTACAGTGCTTCTTTTACATGTTAGTTCCATATATCATTTTAATATATTATTTTCAGTTATTTAGTTCCGGTTCATAATTTCCTCCTTTATCTTATATAGTTTAAAATTTAAAATTGAGCTAATTTTGACATAAATAATTTCGTTACATCATGCCCATCCATAAGGGAAGACTTTTACGTGAATATCTTAAACAGTAAGCTGCGAAGAGATACAATTTTTAATCACGTTTCTGATTCTTTTCTGAATACTTTTCGTGAAACTTTCCTTTGGAGGCTAAAAATCCTTTCGCATTTTATTTGAGATAAAAGGATCAAAAAGGCTATATTGTATTATTGAGGGCTTATTAGAAATGCACTATTAAATCCTTTTCTTGAATAATCCTGCGGACTTATGGATCATTTTAAATAGATGACTAGTAAACTAATTTTCTTTCTTTCTCGAAAGTTATCATTGAAAGGATCGTTTGTTATTGTTGTGCTTGAACGATATATTTTATACTGTTGAATTCCTTTTCAGAACCGTATGAAGCTTACTTACTGAATTTATAAATTCAGTAAGTAAGCATCGTATGCTCTGAATTCTGGGCTCGAAGTACTGTTTCTAAGAATGCTTGGCTTGTTTTGGTTTATCGACACTCTATTCTTCTTTTTCTTTCAGCTCCAAAACAAGACCATTTTTGGGAGAGGAAAAATTATAAAGAAAAAAAAAGAGCGTTCAATTACTATAATCCTCGAAGTTCTGTGATATTTCAGTGAAGTAAGGAGAATAAAATAGGATATTTATTTAAAATTACTGGATTAAAAGGTAAATTAAAGGACTACTTTTCTTTTGGCAATCGTACAATCGTATCATTATCAATATCCTGTTCGGTCTAAAATTTTGTTTTCTAAAAAATTATTTTGGATCTATAGTCGAATGTTGGTGTTGTGAGAATTGCTGACTCGATTACGGGTTTTATGCTGGAATGTGGTATGTCTACCCTTCTGAATGTTTGATGTACTGTTTCCCTTCTTTTATCGTATCGCTCCTTCTGGTGGAAAACTCGCATTTGCACCAAATTAAATTTCAGTTAAAATAGTTAAAATAGCAGATATGTTTGAAAGAATAGCAGATATCTTGCAGATATGTTTGAATATTTGATGAAGCATTAATAAAATGTACTTTCATGCTCGCATAGCATACGCATCACTGATACTGTCAAGTTGAGCGAGAAAAAAACCATCTAAAATCAACTTGGAAAAGCTAAAACAATTTCAAAGTAGCATCTCCTTTGTAGAAAACATTTTTGAATATTTCAACCCAATGGTATCATCCAGTCGTATTTCAAAAAGTGTTTCTGTTATAAGTAGGAACAATGTTTTTTAAGTTGCCAGGGAAATTTTTAGCATGAAATCACTGCTGATGATTGAATATTACTTCACTATTTCTTTTCTTATTCTACTATATAGATTGAACAGATCCAGGTATTTCAAAAAATGCTCGAGAAAAACATCAACATCAGATGATCTCGTAAAATATTGTATGCATGTTTCTTTCTTTCAAATATTCCTAACATTTCGGCATCATACATCAGCTTCAACTGTAAGAACGAGTGCTTACTCAAATTTGAGCAGTTGAAGCTGCCATCCTCAAAAACATGTCATGGCCACTCTTGGTTAATTGGGTATTGTCAATAATAATTTCCTTTCCCATGAAACAGAAATGCGTAAATGATGATTGTGAGATACGATTGCTGTTGGCAGTGGGTATTTCTGGTTCTCATCATTGCACATAAATTTCAACAAAATGAATGGTAATAGAAGAATAAAAAAGCTCAAGTTAGGTCAATCTCAAAGTGAACTAAATTGATTCTATCAAAAAATATCTTTTCAGTTTTGCTTTTTACCTAAAATGCTCTGTACTATTGGGTTGCGAATTGCGTTTTTTTACACTCCACTTTTTACAAATATGATATAACAGTTGAATAAAGCTGTAAATTGACGGTGTTCTATTTCAAACAAGAAATCTTAGTCATTCAAATGTAAAAATTCTGTCATCATTTTGCTTGCCTAATATTGCTTAAGTTTATTTATCCATCAGAATTCCAAATTACTACTACTTAACCGTCTTAACAAGTATATATTCAATTTTTTTTTATTTTTTGTCGAACAATATGATCGAGGCAGAGGTGACGATGCGACACAGGGATGAACAGCTAATTTTTTCAGGAGGATCATGAGAAATTGGAATGGTTTTTGATGGCAGCACTAATATACTTAACTCAATTCCACCCAATGCATCGTATCCGTATTTATATATATATATATATATATATATATATGTAATCC